AAACCTTGGCATTTAAAACCATAAAACATTCTCATCTACTTTCCCAGACTTATTTCACACTATTCATCATATTCTGTATTCCCACCAAACTGTCCTTCTTGCTCTCCTTGAACTGGGTGTCCATCTCCCACCTCTGTGACTTTGCATAGGCTCTTGAATAGAATATACCCCATCTTCACTTCTACTTCTTAGAATCCTTATCTTTCATTAAGGCTCCCACTCAGCTGCTACCTCCTATTAGAAGCCTTTCCAGATCCCCCCAGTTTTTAGTGTCCCTTTCCTCCTCTAATTAATTTGCACTATTTTATTTGTATACATGTTGTATCTCCAGTCAGTGTAAGTTCCCTGGAGTCAGAATCTTTGTACTTTCAGCAATTACTTGCTCCTACCTTTAAATTATTATTATCATTATTACTATTTTTTTATGGGAACTATGATTTTTTTGGTGTAGGGAATTTCTGATGAGGAATCTCTCTTCACCAAAGTAGATTAACACTTGTTTTGAAATTTATAGTCTTACAGAGTTGCCTGTGACATAATGTTTAAATGATTTTCCTAGGGTCTCATAGCCAGTATATGTGAGAGTCAGGACTTAAACTCAGGTCTCTTGACTCTTTGGATAGCTTTGAATTCTTAGGGACCGGGGGCTTACACTAATGCGAGTGGCAATAGGGGAGGCAAGAGCAGAGTCATCCAGCAAATATGGTGACCCAATTACTAAGAGGCTGGCTAGTTTTGAGATTTTATTGGGTACAAATGCTTTAATATTTCCCCTTCTCCCCAATATTGACACACTTCTACCTTTAGTTTTATCTGCTCCCTTTCTACCCTGTATCATAGTCTGTTTTAATCTTTTGATGTTGAAAATTCACTGTCTAGGTGTTATGCATTCTTATGTTCACTGAAGGGAAATTGTCAAAATGATTCCCGACATGGCATCAGAATGAAGAAATTATTTAGATCTGAACATGTAGCTCTTTCCTTGCCCCTTTGGTTCCCCCACACTTACCCCCATTCCCCACTGAAACATCCTCCTCAGTGCCAAGCACAATGTGCACACAGCAGGTTCTCAGTAAATGTTGTCTTATATGCCCTCTCCAATTCTCTTTTGTGTCACACTCTTCTATTAAGCTGGATCATTCCACTATATCTAGAACATTTGCCCGGAGTAACTTTGGACTTTATATTGCCCTTACCTGCGTCCCATTATGCCATCTATTGCTAAATCTTACTTTTTCATTAACAATATCTCTTGAATTTCTCCCTCACTGCCTCTCCAGCCACAACTGTGTCTAGGCTTGCATCATCATTGGCTTGGTATATTTCAAACTCCTCTCTAAAAAATTCATCGCCATAAGCACTATTTTCCATACTTCTCTAGTTGTTTCCCAAATTCACTGTCGAAGTTATCCACCATTGCTGTGACCATACCACTGTTATGATCATTCCAACCCTCTCTTTAGAACCCTTCTTTGGCTTCCCAGTATGCTTTAGTCTTGATCCAAGGTACTTTCTCTCAGTCTATGCCTCTCTCCTCCTTCATTTAAATAACCATTGTAACCCCACTCTCTACATGCAAATCTCATGACTTTCTTTTCACTTACTAGACTCACAATCTCCACTTAACCCTTCTCTGGTACATACTCCTGACTCACCAACTTGTAGTCTAGGGTCCCTAACCTGGGATCTATAGACCCCAGATTTCACAGGGTCTGTGAACTTGGATGGGAAAAATTTTACATGTTTATTTTTACTAACTTATGGCTGAAATTTAGTATTTTCCCAAATTATTGAAAACATTATTATAAGAAGGGCTTCATAGGATTTACTAGCTTTACCAAAAGGGTCTATCACCAAAAAAATATTAAGAACCCTTGCTATATGTGGTTAAGGGATTAGGGTGACAAAGAAGCTCCTTACTATTCAGTAGAATGTAAACTCTTTGAGGGCAGGGACTGGATTTTTTTTTCTGCCCAACACAATGCTTTATACCTAATAGTCACTTAATCAATATTTGTTGAATTGAATTTGCAGATTTAGTAGAGTCTTTCTTTGTAACAGTGTGAAGATTATACTCTATGGAGCTCAAATGGAAGACTTAGGTTAACCTTCTCTTAAGATCATTTATATTGTTTTTTTTTTCCTTTTGAGATGGGTGGACTCAAAGGACCTTCCATCTTGTGGCCCACTTCTGTCCCTTTTGTCATTTACCATATATATATATATATATACACACACACACACACACACACATATATATATATATACACATATATACATATATACACACCCACACACACATATATATATATATATATATATATATATATACACACACACACACACACACACATATTCCCATACATATACATATACATATAAACATATATATGGGAAATATATAATATATATATTTTGCAAAAATTGCTTAGGCAAGATAATCCAGATGTAAAATGTAATTTCATAAAGGTAGAAACTAGTTAATGGAGAAATAGATGTATAATTTAATATTAGACCAAAGAAGACATTGCACAAAGGGAACATGCTGGCTCATCCTCTATATACTAGTTGTTCTTTAACTGTTCTTTAACCTTCTTTAAAATGTACCTGGGAAAGAAAGATCAAAGTTCTTGTCTGCTTTGACAAGGTACTTCCTGGCTTCTGTTTTCTTGTTGTTAAACAGAATGTGGCTCTTGAGAACACTTTTTTGGGGGGGAAGGGGAGGGGGAAAAGGGATTTCTGCTCTTCCTTACAACTGTAGCCTTTAATGAAGAGGTATAGATGAGAGAGAATATGCTGTTGTCTTATCTTTGGCCAGATCGAGAGCCAGGGCTGATGTTGGAGGTTGGGGATTCCTGATCCTCTGCCAAATGCAAGTTTGAAACAATCACATTGCTCTCTAGCCTGGGCTGCCCACATGAGGGGGCTGGCAGCTGCAAACTTTAATGCGGACTGCTTGTGGAAGGAGCATTACCTTCAGCAATGTCAGAGACACACACGCAGGCATAGTGACTGGTGTTTATATGGTAGAGCCTCTTATCCCAAGGGCTAAAGGCACTTAACACTCACTTCAGCGGCCAAAGAAATACCATCACCTCTAAATACATTACCCAGGAGCTAGTGATTGAAGGCAAAGAAGTTCTTAGTTATACAGGGAATATTTATGTGGGCTTCAGGCTACTCTGAATTCCAAAGTAAAACAGGCTATATACCATTGTGAATAATCATTTAAAAAATACCTGGTATGTACCAAGGCATTGTGTTAAGCTCTCTGTGTAGATTATGTACCAGATGATAATCTCCAGTCTATTAGAATTCAGTATAGTAGTGAGCATTCTGTATCTGCACAGTGCAGGGCCAACTCTGGTAATTGAGGTTAAATAATCCACTTGGAGGATTAAATCGGTTGTCTGTATTGACAAATGAACTTAGTAATAATGCAGCACACTTTTTTTTCTATTTGCTTAGCACAGTTCTTGGCACAAAGTAGATGCTTAATGAGTGCTAGTGGATTGACTTTCATTTGTTGGCCTTGAAGACCATGATGACCATGAGCTATTGGCTTGTCTGAAAGCTACCTCCCCTACCACACAGTGCGCAAGTATAGGAATAGGAATAAAGAATGGATCTATGATTTCTTTGGTATAGGGAACTCCCAGGAGAGGAAACTCCCTTTACCAATGCAGGTTAGCATTTATTCTGTTTTTGTTGTTTTTTGTTTGTTTGTTTTGGTGAGGCAATTGGGGTTAAGTGACTTGTCCAGGGTCACACAGCTAGTAAGTATCATGCGTTTGAGGCCGGATTTGAACTCAGGTTGTCCTTGACTCCAGGGCCGGTACTCTATCCACTGCGCCACCTAACTGCCCTTAACATCTATTCTGGAAGTTTTAGTTTTAGAGAGTTGCCTAGAGCAGTGATTCTCAAACTTTTTGGCCTCAGAACCCCTTTGCACTCTAGAAAATTATTGCAGATTGAAAAGAGCTTTTGTTTATGTGGGTTATATGTATTGATATTTACCATATCAGAAATGAAAACTGATAAACATTTTAAAATATTGGATTCATTAAAAATAACAAATCCATTACATGTCAACATGACATTTTTATGAAAAAATAACTATAATTCCTAAGACAAAACAAATCTAGCGAGAAGAATGGCATCATTTTGCATATTTTTTTCAAATCTCTTTAATGTCTGGCTTAATAGAAGACAGCAGGATTCTCATATCTTTTTATGCTTTCAGTCTGTTGAAATCTATTGATTTAGTTGAAGTATCTGAAGAAAATCTAAACTCATACAGATATATAGTTGGAAAAAGTAGGACTATTTTAATAGGAAAATAATCTCTTAGTAGTATTATGAAAATAGTTTTGACTTCAAAGACCCCCATGGAGGGTCTCAGGGACTCCTGGAGGGGGGTGCTGCAGACCACTTTGAGAACAGCCGGCCTAGAACTCTGAGAAGATATGTAATATGTTCAGAGTCACATAGATGTTATGTATAAGACACAGGGCTTAAACCTCGATCTTTGTGGCTTTGAGATCAACTCTCTAGCTGCTACATCAGAAATGATTTTCCTAACATTCATAACTAATTAACATAGTTCTGTTGAGCTTGCCAAGCTCTTTTCTGTACCTTATCCCCTTTCAGTGTTCCAATAAATGTGTGAAACAGACACTGCAGGCATCATTCCCATTTTATAGTAAAATCATTATTCCCCTTTCAGTCCACTTACATAGTTTTTCAGGCAGCTTCTTCCTCTCCCATCGTTTGTTTACACCTTCCCAATATTTGTTCATGGTTATCACATCTCCCCTAGTCATTGTTTAATTTAGCTGTGCTTTCCTTTCCTAGTATTAGGTATGAGCAACAGTGTGGGCAAGCCAAAGTAAATAAGGCACAGAGTCCCAGAAAGCTGGAGTTGGAAGACATCTTAGGCATCATCTGGTCTAACCCCCTTCTTTTATAGATGAAGAAAGTCTAGCACAGGGAGAATGACTTGGTCAACGTGACACAGGGACTGAGTGACAGAGCCTGCTCTTCTTTCTAGCTGGCCTCTAGACTTCTAGTTCAAGGTTCCCTTTACTACACCAGGGACCTTGACCTCATGTAGCTTATGATGAGCAAACAAAACAGGACAGGAAAGAATGAGCAATCGTGTTGTGAAGATCCAAGAGAATTGGAGGAAGCTACAAAAACATGCAAGGCAGCCCTGATGTTGAGAGGATAGCAACAGCGAGGGGAGTGATGAGGGCAGTAATGGAGTGATAGAATCTCAGCAGAAGAAAGGAGAGTCGGCTCATAGGGAGCAAAACCAGTCTCTTCCCTGTCATAATTCAGCACTTTTTAATGAGGATAATAGGACACTTGTTATGAGGTAAGATGGACTGAGACCAATAAATGGGTGACAGGACATTTGTTATGATGTAGTAAGGGATGGAACCAATGAATATTATGATGTAAGATGGATGAGAACAATGATAGAATGATAGGACATATGTTATGATAGAAGGTGCATAGGACCAACGTGTTAACTCCCTGGTACCAGAATTGTATGAGTGGTTACAGAAGACTCTCCGACAGTCAAATCTAACTGTACATAGTGACCTTGGAAACCCTTCTCTTCGCTTTTGAATTAGGCTATCACAACTTCTATGGGTAGTATTCTAAGAGTTCTGGGCTTGGTGGATCTGATGGTTGTTTTTTTTTTTTAAATCTTCTATGTTAAGGCTTAAAAGCCCTCGTATTTTAGAATACATGTACATAAACATTGAAAAAGATTTAACAATGTGTGCAGGATATATAGCATCAGCATGGGAGATAGAATTCTGCTTTGGGATCAGGAAGTTATAGCCTCAAATTCTGCCTGTGATGCATCTTAGCTGTGTGGCTTTGAATGGCAAGTCACTTGTTCCATGGGACTCAAATTAAACTCTATATGGGTCAGATGGAGGTGGAGGACTCATCCCAACCCTGATGGCTTTGCTTCTGATTGCTGGCATTAAGACAGATCTCAGTAGTATCAGTGCACCAGTATCTGAGCCTCAGTTTCCTCATCTGCAAAATGAAGTTAGTGAGAGCTATATAATACAGGATTGTTGTAAGGCTCACGTGAAATAATGTATATTGAAGCACTGGAAACTTTGAAATGACATGTGTGTGTCATTTATTATTATTTGTAGAAAGAACAGTAATTTGGGGGTCAGAAGACCTGGGCTCAAGTTATGGTTCTAATACTTGAGTCTTGTGTGACTTTGAGTAGTCTCTTAGGACTTCAGTTTCCTTACCCTTTAAGCAAAGGGCTGAGCTTAGATGATCTCTAAAGCTCATTCCAACAATGACAATCTTTGATCTTACTTGGGAAATAAGATATAAGTACAGTATAGCATGGAATGACTATGGCATAGTAGATAAGCAACCAGGGTCAGAGAGTAAAGAAGTTATTTGAACAGGCTTGAGCAAGGTTTCCTGGAGGAGGTTAATTTTGAAACAGTTTTGAAAGAGGAAAAGGAACATGGATTGTTAGAAATAGTGTAGAATTGGGGGTGAATGAATGGAGTGTTTGAAAGGCTGTTCAGATGAGACTTTTTGAAATAGCCCTTGTAAAGTCTTATTTTTCCCTCTTTTAGTCAGGATGGGGGAAGAGCAAGCTGTCATAGTTATGTCACTCACCTATAAATGTGCCAGTATTGGATTTGGAAATGCATGAATTGAGGTTCCAGGACCATGATACTAGGAACATTTTATCAGTATATTCTCTGAAGTGCCTTGGAGCAGACTTTTCTTTACACAATTTTTCAACTGAGAAAACAAAGCAAAACATGAAACTGTTGTTTTTGGCTTCCAGAAGGGAGGCTTTGATGAAAGCTGTCCAGCTGTCTCTGAAAAGCCAGGGATCCTGGAGAGGGTGACCCTTCTACCCTCTATGGCTTAGGAGGGTATATTGTTGCACCTGCTGGGCTGGGGGTGGGGAGAAGCATTGAGCTCAATGTAGTTCAAATAAAGCTCTGTGTAGGTCAGATGGCATTGGAGTTAAGTCAAGTCAGCAAACATTTATTAAGCTCCATTTATATGCCAGGCACTGTGCTAAGGGCTGGGGATATAAAGAGAGGCAAAAAAAGTCCCTGCTCTTCAGAATCTCAGAGTCTAATGGGAAGATATTATGCAAACAACTACGTACAAACAACATTCAGAATATTTAATTTTAGAGGGAAAGCACTAAGATAGAGAGTACTGGGAAAGGCTCCTTGAAGAAGGTGGGGCTTCAGGTGAGACGTGAAAGAAACCAGGGAAGTCAAGAGGTGGAGATGAGAAGGGTTGAGCCCCAGGACAGACATGGAGGACAGTCAATGAAAAGGGCTGGAATCAGGAGTTGGAGTATCTTGTGGGAGAGAGCAAGGAAGCCAATGCTACTCAATCACAGAATATATGCAATGGAGTAAGGTATAAGAAAACCAGAAAAATAAGAAAAGACCAAGTTATGAATGGCTTTAAAAACCAAAAAGTGGATTTAATATTTGATCTTGGGGATGACTGGGGGCCACTGGAGTTTATTGAATGGAGGATGAGATGGCTAGATCTGCACATTAGGAAGATCATTTCAGCAACTGAATGGGGATGGATTGTAGTGGGGAAAGCCTTGAGGTAGGAGATCAACCAGCAGATTGTTGCAATAATTCAGGCATGAGGTGATGAGCACCTGTACCATGGCAATGGTAATGTTAGAGAAGAGAAGTGGGCGTATATAAGAGATGTTATGACGGCAGGGTAGGACTTGGCAACTGATTGGTTATGGGAGGTGAAAGTGAGGAGTTAATGATGATACCTTAGTTGCAAGCCTGAATGATTTGAGGGGATGACAGTGTTCTTGACAGTGATAGAAAAATTAGGAAAATGGGAGGATTTGGGGAGAAATAAAATGAGTTCAGTTTTGGACAGTGTATAAGATATCCAGTTGGAGAAGTCCAATAGGAAGTTGGAGATGGCAGATTGGAAGTCAAGAGAGAGATTAGAATTGGACAAATAGGTATAGAAATCATGTGCATAGAGATGACAGTTGAATCCGTAGGAGCTGATGAGATCACCAAGCAAAGTGGTATAGAGAGAGTGGAGAGGAGAGCCCGGGAAAGAGCCTTAGAGGATAGGATAGTGTACAGTCAGGATGAAAATCCAGCAAAGGAGATTGAGAAGCAGTCAGACAGATAGGAGGAGAGAACAGAGAAGAGGGAAGAGGGTGACTGGCACTGGCAAAAGCTTCAGGGAGGTCAAAGATGAGAAAAGGCCATTTGACTTGGCCATGAAGAGAGGACTGGTAACTTAGGAGACATTAGTTTCAGTTGAATGATGAAGTGAGAAGCCAGATTGTAGAAAGTTAAAAAGAATGAGAGAAAAGGAAGCTGACGCACTAATTATAGATGGGCTTCTTGAGGAGTTTTACGTGAATGAGAAGAATGAATCTCTATTGTACAGTGGAATGTGAGAATATTCCAAGGCTGAGTCTTGGCAGGGCAAGAGGAGTCCTTCCTGACTCTTGTGGCTTTGCTTCAAACTTCTGGCATGAAGACAAACCTTAGTAATATCAAGCCATTAAGGTACTCTACAGTTACTCTACAGTTAGCACTAAGTGCCATTATATGCAGCACTATCTAGAATAATGCCATATGTTTATTACTATATTATACATTTCAAAGAACCTTCACGTATATGATCTTAGTTAGACTTCAAAAACAACTCTGAAGTATCATTCCCATTTTACAGTGGGGAAGACTGAGATATCACACACACACACACACACACACAGAGTCATCTTTGGTGAAGCTGGGACTAGAGCTCATGTCTCCAGACTCTTTCCTATATTCTTTCCACCGAGCCATGCCATCTTGCTAGCTGTACTGTCCAAATGTACTATTCAGTTGTGTCTAGTACTCAATACTCTGTTCTGCTTTGTCTAGATAGACATAGTCTCTGAAGTTCGAAATGTTGGGTGCCAAATTATAAGATCTTCAATTTAATTAGAATAAAACACATTCCTTAGCTGTACAAAAATAAACCACTGAATTTCTTTAATTACTACTCATTTTCCTCAAGAACAAATAAAATCAGAATGAAAAATTAACCTTAACTTTCCCTTGACTCAAAGAAGAAGCTACAGGTCTGTATAATCCGATTAGTAGGTGTTCCATAATATGGAACAAAATGTTGGCTAAAGACTGCTGGAAAAGTAATAATGATAATATTGCTGCTGCAGCTAATGATGATGAAGATGATAATGATAATTGACACTCTTTGTGGTGCTTTATTGCTTGCAAAGCATGTTACATATATTATCTCATTGGAGCTCCATATCAATCTGGTGAAGGAGGTAATGCAATTATTGTGCCCATTTCATAGTTAAGAACAATGAAGCTGAGAGAGGTTAACTTTCTTGCCCAAGGGTCAGAGATCGGATCTGAACCCAGGTGTCTGTGACTCCAAATCCAAAGTCCTATCTTTCCTGTGACATTCCAGGCATGTGGAACAGTTTGTTAAAAAAAAAAATGAGAGATGACAAGTAAACACTAAAAACCAATCAACAAGTATTAATTAAATATCTTCTATGTGCCAGGCATTGTACCAGGCACTAGGGATACAGAAATGAAAGCAATATTCCTTACCTCCATATAATTTATGTTCTTTTTGAAAAAAATACTTTATTTTTTCCAATTACATGTAAAAACAATTTTTAACCTGCTTTCTTAATGATTTTGAGTTCCAAAGTCTCTCCCACTCTCCTCCTCATTGAGAAGGCAAGCACAATTAGCTTACATTGTATCAGAGATAGCAGCACATACAACCACATGCAAAGTAAAGGCAAGAGCTGATGAAGGCCTCAGCTAGAAGAGTGGATAGGTGAGCAATGACAAAGGCTAATAGCCTAAGTTAGCTGGAGTGTAGAGTATGTGAAGGGAAGTGATGTAAAATAAGATTAGAAAAGTAGATTGAGCAAAATTGTGAGGGCTTGAAGCATGGGCAAAGACACTATTGAAGGTCCTCGAGCAGGGTAGTGACATGATTAGACCTGTGGATTAGGAAGATGACTTTGGTGACTGTGTGGTGGTTGGATTGGAAATCGAAGGGGCTGGAGGCAGGAAGACTAATTAGAAAGGCAATACAATTGTCCAGATGAATGGTGATGACAACCTGAACACTGAGGGGACGGATGTGTGAGATGCCATGGAGCTAGAGTTGACAGGACTTGGAAACTGTTTGGATGTGGGGGTAAGGTGGTGAGAGGAAGAGACAAAAATGACTGATATTTATTTTTTTAAAGTGATATATTTTTAAAAATTTTAAACATTTTTATTTCAAGTTTTGAGTTCCAAATTCTATCCCCTCCTT